GGGGAGGCAGACAACAGGCAGCAGCTTCCATGGTGGCAGGCAACAGTGTTCCCTCTGATGCTGCAGACCCTTGGTGAGGACACCTTTATAGCCCTGCCCTGTCCGGTGACTCACAAATTCTTCGGGGCAGGGGCAAGGGCAGGGGAGTGAGGGACTGGGGTTGCAGGGACAGCGGTCCCCAGGGTGTGAAATTTGTCCCAGTTGTGTAAACAGAGCCTGGGGGCAGAGGAGGTGCAATCTCTGGTGGAAAAGCAAAACACAAAAGGGAAAAGTTAGACACCATTTGTGAGAAAATCCCCAGGGGGGAACAGGGGACAGCAGAGACAATTAACAAGGATGATTAAGTGCTCTTTGGGGGGGGGGGCGAGGGGAGAGGATGGGGCGTGCTGGGGCAGCACGATGGAATGGGATGGGGACAGTGCAATGGCCATGTGATGGGACAACCTGATGGGCATGCCATGGGGACAGTGTGGTGGGCTTGTGATGGGGATGGTGCAATGGGCATGATGAGGACCATGTGATGGGCATGCCCTGGGGACACAGTGATGGGCATTGATGGGGTGCAGTGGTGGCAAGCACAGAGCAACCAGGAGGCAGGTGATGGGATGCTCAAGAGAGGACGGGGAGGGAAGACAGACAGCAGGGGTGGACCCCAGGCATGGACACGGCAATGGTCCTGCTCAGGCACCCAAGGCCCCTGCATGGATTGCCCCAGGGAGCTACCAGGCTCTGTTCCCACACTGCTGGCACAGTGGGGAGAGCATGCACTTGCCTGTGCTCCCTGCCCTCTCCTTTGGCTTTTTGAGATGTGGACCATATCAGGAGGTACAGAAAAGCTTCTCGATATGAGGGTGCAAGGCTCGGCCTCCCCTGGCACTGCCACACATCCCATCCCTGCCTGCTTCTCCTGCCTGAGTGCTCAAGGCAAGGTGCTACTGGCAGACAGGTCACCTCCTGCTCCGGGGAGGGTTTCAATTTGAGACAAGGAAAGAAAATAGCAAATGGTCCCTGCTGTGGCTCTGCTATCAGCATCCAAACACCCCTGTCCAAATGCTGGCTGGACCCTGCTCAGCTCCGAGCACAGTTTGTCATCAGGGGCTCTCCCTGCCCCTTTCCATCTGTGGCAGCCAGCAAGCGGGAGGGGGCACAGGGCCAGCACAGCCCTCATTACTGTCTCCATTTGCTCCTCATTTGGGCCAGGAGTCTTACAACAACAAACCCCACAGAGGACAAGCAGGGCCAGGAGGAGTGAACCAAAAGCCTGAGCTCACCCTGCAGGCACAGGGAGTTCAACCTGCCAGCGTTTCACTGCCCCTCCCGGCCCTGGCACAGGCGATGCAGCCCAAAGCAGACACGGTGGCACACAGTCACCTGCTGGCCACCAAGGCTGGCCAGAAAGGTGACAGCAAACCACAGACCTGAGCCACTTAGGCAAACCTACTCTGATAATTAATAGACAACAAGCAAAATGAGGCATTCCAGTTCCCCAGTCCTTCCCAATACTGAAAGGGTTTAATTCTGATCTGCAATAAGCCTCTGATCCAGGCTGAGATTTGCAAGTGGATTTTGCAAAGCTGTAGCTAAACAATTCACAGCCCCTGATCCCCCGGGCTGGGGCCCCAGCCACTCGCCCTGCCCCAACCAGCCATCTCCGGTCCTAGGTGACCCCTGGCCGCTGCCACCCTCGGTCCCATGCTGTGTCTCCAGCTGCCTCCGTAAGTACCGCAGAGCTCCGGCATGACCCTCCCGTGCCTTTTTGCCAGCACCCCAAGCACCCCAGGTGTTTCTTTTGCAGCAACACCCCTGAAACAGAGCAGGAGGTCTTGGTTAGCGCACAGGAAAGGAGACAGAAAGTTGGGAAACTTTGGTACCAAATATTCGAGTTGCCAGCTGGGTGACAGGGAGAGAAACAGAGGCACTGGTCCATGGCAGCACTCTCAGCTGGGAGTGTTCCCAG